GACAGTCGCTAGTTGTCTTCCGATTTTTTTGATCGCTGTGTTTCTCCGTTTTATGCGACTCGCATTTTATTTTTATTTTTATTTTTCTTTTTTAAGGTTAGTTGGCTTGGAGTGGGGAATGAGTTGTAAACGATAACGAGGAATTTTATGTACCATGTTTGTCCGGAGGAGAAATTGTTGGGATTGTTACGGTAGTAGGTGATGATACTCTTTAACCGTTTCCCAGTATAAAGTATGCATTCTGTGGTTTTCACACAATTAGTCGACAACTTTGCGTTATTATAAGTAGATCGTGAATTTTTACGCAGTATCGTATTTTTGTTAAGATCTAAACTAAGGAGATGAAACATACGTACAGATTTACTTTATTCGTTAGATTTTATAAAATAGTTCACTTTGAATATGTTTTCTATTTCTGCATACTGTGTGCAGTTTGTTCCTTATACGCCTTTGAATTTATCATAAACGTATAAGAATATGCAATATAATTGCAAGGAACATCGTTACTCGGGGCTTTCAGGCGCAAGCCACGTTCAGGAAGAATTGTACGCACACATTTTGCCAGCATAATTGATAGTACAGAATGAAATCTTGACTCCTTAAAAACAGTATGTACTTCCTAGTATTATCGAGTATCTGTGATGCGCCATTGAATCATCGGATAATTATCAAAGAAACAGACAGAAATTGAAGTTCAAAGGTTTTGAAAGAGACTTGGTCGTTGTGAATTCACGACTTCGCTTACGCAAAATTTCTCCTTCTTTCTCTTTCTTTTCTTTTTTTTTTTCATTCACCACAGTTTACTCGATAACAAGCGCGGATTCTCCATGCCAATCAAACGTACGATCTGAATTCAACGGGACGGCATAACTACCTCTCCATCGAACTTCGATTCCCCTCGATCCCGGATCCTTCACGAAGAACCCTTTTCAACTTTCCTTCGTTTCATCTTGGCGGCCAGTTTTCAACGTCGAACGCCGGCTATCCACGTTACCGGCCACGTCAATCGCGTTCGAAAGGATAATCGCCGTTTCGAGATGATACTTTGTCGCAGTCACGAACGGTTCGGTTTTAAAAGCCGAGCGATTTCCACGGTCACCCTGGTCCTTTTTCTTCTCCGGCTTCCTTCTCCGTGGACGATTACACGATCCTGCTACGCGAATCGCGGTCGTCGCTGGATTTCACGACGTCGTTTTCACGGATCTTTCGTCTAAGCTGGCAACTTTCTATGGCCAATAAGGAAGCTCCGTTTTTTTCTCATCTTTCTCGATCGCAACCGGTAGTCGACAACGGGTAATAGATTGGAAATATCGACGATGCTCTGTTTTCTCGATTAGTTCTACGCTAAAATATCGCTATTTTATCTCGAGCGACGTTGCTCATGAATATTTATGGCTAACGTTGCCTGGACAGAAAAGTAGAATCTATCGAGGCCAAAGAAATACGCGATTTTTGTCTATTCTTTTGAGAAATAATATGTACGTACAGTTATTTGTTAGGGTCTTTGCGCCTACCATTAGGTTGCCCGAAAAGTGTCTTTCTTTTACAGACACGTCTTTTACAACGACGCATCTTCATACAAACATGAAACCCAATCTGTCGAACGTTGTGATCTTTATTTTGGTAGAACAAAATGGATCATACGTAATTCGATAAAATAATATAAAACGGAAAATGTTGTGCGTCCATTATTTCCTTACAAAACGAAAGAAACTTTTCGGACGACCTAATATTTATAAAAGATCTGTCGTTTATCGAAATAAGCTGTATCTTATTTGGAATATTATATTTGTCTATTAATGTATGAAACAACGATTATTTCGTAGCAAACTGTGTCACTTGTTTGCTATAAAAATAATATTTAATTAGCCTCGATCGTGTCGAGTATATTATCAGTGGTAATATTCAATGGGATTTTAGTTCGATGGAAATAGCTTTGCTATACTGCGTTATGGTGTACGAGGACCATTGAACATTGAAATTAACTATTCATGGAAGAATGTTATGCAGTCAAGAATATTTATTCGCGATAATGTTTCTTAAATTCTTTGAAACTAATTTCGAAGCAAAGAGAAGCTAAACGTGTACATGTGTCGATATTCTTCAAGAGATTAGGTTGCGTCAAGTATATGTAAGCTGTATAATAAGTAGGAACATACGTAGATATCTATGCAAAATGAAATATTATCGAAACCCGACTTTATTTCGGTATCTTCAAAGCGATCATACGGAGATTGTTAAGTATAGAGAAGGATTATGTAGAGTTTTATCTCGATACATTATTGCTGTTCGGATTCTCGATACTCTCAGGTGTATAATTATTCTACAGACTTATCAGAAACAGCATCCTCCTCGATGCTAACATTCAAGGAACATCCAATCGTTCGATAACCTAAATAACGCGATTAATGAGAGCAGTCACACATCCCTGGTTACCAATCACTCGTATCAGCTCAGCAAGATATCAATTGAAAAAGTTTGCACAACCTGTAATAATTCATCCACATGTTACTCGAGTTAAAAAATCGAAATATCCGTAGCAATTCGAAACTTTTCCTCTTAGATTCTTGGCAAATAGCAACATTGGGGAGTCCAAATGTAAAAAATAAAAAGGTCTAGTTGAAAAGATTCTTGCTATCTTTTTACATCGACAAATCGAACTAGCTGGCGCACAGTGAGATAATATACATATGGAAATGTTGAACAGCATTATTTTTGTATACAAATCACGTTCAATGCAATTTATTGGTTATTTTTATGTAGAATAAGCAAGACAATTTTTTAAATAAACAATACATGTATACAGTTGGTCACGACGGTATTCGGTTGTATTATTCTATTTTATTAGATTATTTACGTATTGGCCATTTCTAGGAAATCGTACAATTATTGATCTATTTTGCAGTGATATAAAAATAATAAATAAATAATAAATAAATAACAAATAAATAAATAAATATAGATAAAATCTATAGTAATGTAGTATCGTGGACAGATTGTCTAAGAGATATCGGGTGAACCATAAACAATGTTGCGAGGAAACCTAAATGCCGACAGGCCAAAAGGGTTTGGAAACTATAATGGTCCGAGCGGCCCATCAATGTGTGGTCGGTCCTTCAGCCAAATGGTTACGCGGAAAAAAGGCCTAGTGACTATGGCTGCGGACGTTTGCGGAACAGGTACGTGGTGGAGCTACGAGAAAAGACAAAGGGAAGCTTAAGGAAAAAAGACGAATTGTCAGTCAGTCGTGAGTTGAGAAGACAGTGTTGTCAGCGTTGTCGAGGAGGATGGCCCGCGTGAAAGGGAGCGTTGGAAGCGTGGTGACGAGACATTACTGTATTTAGTTCACGTTAAATAACCATCGTATCCTGCTTAATCCATTCTAAATAAATAAATAAATCCTACAGTAAACTATTAGTATATTTCAAAAAATGCTCATGAAACCCTGAAGTGATGAACTCCTATAACCAACTGCTATATCTTTAGGGTTCGCTTGTACAAAAAGTAAAGAAGACAAAATATTTCGTTTCTTGATAAAGTTAATTCGATTTATCGCTATTTCGATCGATCAATCCTTGCTGGAAACGAATCAAAATTGTCAAAATCGTCTATCTATCGACTTTTCGAGATGAATATCCTACCATAGACAAGTTACCTAGCACCGAGTTGTCTCCAGGTGGAGATGACCTCGCAATTGTCAGTTTTGTTTTACGAGGCGAGAATTGGTAGTAATCGCGACGTTATTCCACGGGAAGTGACGCTTTTACGACTGGCGGAATAGTGAAGCCGATGGGAAATCTACGTTTCCGGTCCGTGGCGGCCGAAATCGGCGACAAAGTGGCAATGGTTGGATTTTACTCGTTCCACCTTGCCACGCTGTCACGCGGTTTTTACTGTCGCCTGTATACGGCGCACTAAATTATCCTGTTTGCAATAAAACGCGTTGCGGGACGCGCGTACGCCACGGTGAACAAATAAACGCGAAATTACGGTGAAACCTGGTTCTCTGCTCTGAACGTCTGTCTTTCTCGGTCGTTTAGCTTTGGCTCGATACACTGGCTCGCGATACCAGTCGAAAACGAACGGTAAAAAGCTTGGATGTTTAGCTTGGACGTTTCCTGGTAGTTGCTCGATCGGTTAAGAAGAGAACATCGTTGTTTAATTCGCTGTTTTGTCCAGGTTAAACCGGTTGCGCTTGAGCGTGTGACTTATTGTAATATTTAGCTACTTGTTGTACGAATCTTTACAAAATTCTGTTAGAAAATCTGGGATTTTTTAAATTATTGATTTAGTAAGAATTTAATGCGCCCAATTGCGAATTACCATTAGATTATGTGTTTAAAAAATTCGAAAAGTTTCTAAATATCCGATAGAGTTAAGTAAAATCTTTTCACGTTACAATTATTAAGACGCTAGACAGATTAAAATTAGGCATGTTTTATTTCGTTGAGGAATTAATATCTTTCAAGGAGCATTCGTGACTCGCTCGTTTAATTTCCAATTATTGCTCGCTGATTTAAATTAATTAAACAAAAGTAGATCCTCTTAAGCGTTATTGAACGTACTTCCACCTGATCTTTAAAGAGCGTTCTTAATCGAAACGAAGTGGAGCAGCTGATTCGAGGCTGTGGAAAACGTTCAATGAAACCCTTAATTGAACCATCCAAGCCACTGACAGTTCCTCGAAATATCGCCGCATTTACATACGATCAATGGCCGATCGACGTTTTAATTGCTTCCTATCGATGGAGAACGAACGTTGCTCCAGATAGTGTGATTAAATTGCATCTCAATTGACCCGGTTGGCATTTCTGTGTTTCTAGGTCTTCGTCGCGCGTTCTTGAGAAATAGAACGTTTCGTGGTCGCGTTGTTCGTTATTAAACGATTACATTATTCGATTAAATCAGCGGCTGGTCGTCGAATCGAAATTGCCAGCTGCTAGACGAATATAAAAGAGATTTATAGACGATTAACGAGTTACGTGACGTTTCTGTTGCAGCCAGAGACGGTTCCTCAAGCGAGGATCGATATGACCCGCGTGTTGGAGGTCGCTGCAGCCGAAGACATCACTGGACATCCTTACAGCCTCGCGATCACCGCGCCCGAAGGAGTTACCTTCGTAAAAGGCACGTGCCGCGAGGAAACCAGATGGTGGGCTGATGTGCTGCAAGTCTACTCGAGGAACAAGGTTTGCTTCAAAAATATATTACACGTAATACGAGCATTGGCTGATTTATACTCGTCGTTTTACACAGTGTGATTCGAACGCAACGCTTTTAGCCCAGATGCATCGAGTTGCTCCGAATTCCATAATCGTCACTCAAATTGGTAAATTTGAAAGTAGGAAATACAAAATTACCGGCATAATGGAAACAGAATATCATATTGTTTATGTTAGAACTACCAAATAGTCAAAATGACCAATTAATAATTTCTCTCTTCGAACTTCATGATTTCAGCGAATATATTGGCAACTAAGTGATTGTAGATTTTGTCAGTAGGTGGTAATGTTGCCAATTTGCCAACCTAATAGTTCTATTATATAATTACATTTACACTCGTGGAACGAACGTTCGTTCGACAAAATTGAAATGTATTTAGACGAAATTAAAACTACTGGCCTATTACAAATTATAGATGATGCAGTAGTATGAACATAGATTGTTTCTTCTGTAAACCCTGCAATTTATATATATCAAAGAATGTTCAGCGTTTTAAGTAACGAAAACAGAAGGATCTTTCTGAAGCGACTAAAATTCTATGGGAAATTTCGGTGGAGCTACGTTTAATTGCCATCGAATGGCAAATGAGCCGGGGTGGGTTCGAGAAGCGGCGAATCGCCAATTACACGTTTCACGAGTCGCGTGGTCCAACGCGAAAAAGAAGTGACGCTGACGCGACGGGACCGCTGTCATTCGTTGATTGCGGTGCTCGCATAATCATTACTACATCCTTCTGCGTCATACTTGTTACGCGTGCAGTAATACCAGTCGCGTCGACTTGTCTCACCGGCGGAAATAGCTTTAATAATCTCACGCTCGAAACTACGTTCGCGTTCTCGCGGCAAACGAATCGCGACAAACGTGTCCGCCCGCGGATTTTCCGCGCCTCGACCTACGCGAATTCCTCTATCCTGTCTTTCCCAATCGAAACCGGAGAGGTCCTTCGTCGTTATTAAAATCTTTTACTTTGCATGTAACGATGTTTTTTCCGTAGTGAGTAGTTGTCGTGTTTTCAAACTCTCTGACCAATGACCAGGCAACGCTATTATTTTGAAACAACCGCAGAAAACTAAGTCCGTCGTTGTTCCGTGCCATATTCATATTCGAAGTACACAATCATTATTTCGGTTTGTGTGGTATAATTTTAACTAAGAACGTAAAAAATACACACGAAACGTACATACGGTACGTGTAATTTTCGAGTCACGTGGCGCTCTAAAGGGCTAAGGTAGCTAATTATGGCTTTGTTAACGATAGTATGAAACGTTTTGATTGGGCCGTTTAACGACTGGGTAGATTCAAAAGCGGGGTGAAAGTTCTCTTATTAGCGATTTAATGGTTGACTCTAATAGGAGCATATTATTCTTATTAAAGGATTGTCTTTACTTTAATTCCTTTTAATTTCAAATAATCGAATGTTTTAGTACCGATTTAATAGACAACCTTCTTCCACTACGTATCTTTCTAATTGCAGACCTCTGGGAAGCGGTACCTGTTCAGTGGTACTCTGACTCCCAGTTTATCCCTATTACGATAAATTCTTGGTAATGAAATTATCTCGATAGAGTTTCCAACACTCCAATTACGTTTGCAATTTATTACTATACGTATATATACCCGCCAATCAATCGTTTAATCGAACGATAAATCCACAACAGTCTTTATTCTTATCTTCTCACTGTATTCAACTTCGTCTCTATTATAATAAATTTCCATTAACGAATTTATCTCGATGGAATTTCCAATATTCCAATTACTATAGATATCTAGTTAATCGACCTATCAACTTGCCGATTAATTCTCAACCCTTATTCTTATCTTCTCGATATTCTCAAATTTATCTCTATTATAATAAATCCTTATCAATGAAATTCTCGTCTTATTCACGCCTTGTTATTATACCCGACTATCTTATTTCCAATATCCCAATTAACGATTATAATTTACGAGTATCTCGATGATCGATCTACCTGCCCATCTACAACCCCTTTACGCGCCAAACAAAAATTCCACCAACACTGCTCTCTTTTTCAACAGTCCATCCAACAATCGCAATCGTATCGATATTTAACCGTAGGAATCGAGCAACGCGTATATAACTCGGATAGACCACTACAGACATCTAATTCTCGGTTATCGTCGGAGAATCGGCGCGGCGGTTCGAGCTCGTACGGTTAATCTGGACGCGGAACGAGCGAAAGCAGACGACAGGTAAACGAGGCGGACGCTGGAAAGAGACGAGAAAAGAAACGAGTCTGACAAAAGTGCGATAATGCTCGATCATTAGCGCGCGCTGTCGCCGCGTCACGCTCGTTACTGCGCGAAATAATGCCGCGTTGGGCAAAACTGCACCGTAGCCAAGCGTCGATTGCCGCTTTTCTGCGATTCACTCGATCGTTCCGCGTGCCTCGCCAGAGTTCTTCGCTGGTTTCTTATCGTCGTTCGAGGGAATAGAGCCGATTATGCTCGTGACCGGCTGGTAACAGCGCAACAATGCCGGATGATCGCCGGTTGTTTGTTAATCCGTGAACAGCGACGATTCAATCCGATTCTCGAACGATCGAGAGGGAGGTCAGGCACTGACAGGTATTCAGAGCGGATTCACGAGGGTGATGGGGGATTGCCTTGGTGTTGAGATTGATTCAATTAATTTTAATTGCGCTTGATTCGACGCCGAACCGCTGTGAATGTGTGTCGCGGGGTTTGTTTCGGGGGACGAAGTTTGGGAGGTGTGAATTTATCGATTCGAGTTTTTCAGGCGATTGTAGAACTCAGACTGTCGATTTTTATATTTGGATTGTCGACTTTGGCTGTAATTTTGGTTCCACTTGTAACGATGTTATTAGGTTGTTCCAAAAGTTTCTTTCGTTTCGTAAGTGAAATAATAGATGCACAACATTTTATGGATTTATGTACGATCCATTTTGTAGTAATGGAATGAAATAGATCAAACATAATTCAATAAAATAAAACGAACAATGTTGGGACAACCAAATGCAGCGATGAATGTTCATACGACGAAAGAATTGCACGTTCAACTATATTACGCTTCGCAAGAATAATTATGGAATTAAAGTGGAACGACACTTCTTTTACCAATAGTTTTCCCAATTTTTCCTCGCCCGTTTAATGTCATATCTATTTCAGTCCTTTGACTGTCTTGAATAATCGCCGCGTTAACGTTCAAACTTGTTCTTCGCTACGGTGAATATTTGAAAACGCGGGTATCGATGAATTAACGCCGACGTCGAAACAGTAAAAGAGCCTGGTCGATGTTATCTGCCGCGTGATCTACGCGTTTCGCGATCGCCCGATAGATCAAGGCGCCCGTTCGAGAATCGTGTAGCCTGTCGTCGAGAGACCGTCATTTTGCCACGTTACTTAGGCTCTCGACAATGGCGCGTTGTGCAACAAATGATCGATGGCAGAGTAGCTTCTCCTCAACGAGATAAAAATCAGACGAGGCTTTTATACGTACGAATTATTCTTATGGTTGTTCGCCTGTGTGCGAATTTCGAGGAATATTTAGACTCGTGACTGGCGATACGAATATTCTTTACTTTGAATATCTTTTATCATCGAAGTTGAAAGGATACGGATACTTTGGCAAAGCTTAACTACGATATGATCGGTGATATTAATTTCTTAAGATGCCACGTAACTCGAAACGCAATTTTTATTTTAATTGGAAACCTAGGAGCTAACAATTTGGAATCCTAAAAAATTGTCTAATCATAAGGGATTGAAGAAATAGAAGATTTAATAGAAGATTTTGTAATCGTCAGAAGAAGAATTACTTTTACTTCAGTTAGAAACCTAGAAACTAACAATTGTTGTAAATACGTAGGTTTGTTAACGCTAGAAGAATGGCAGGGTAACAAAGTCAAATGAAACACCGATGAACAGATAAAATCAGGTTTAAAAAACATAATCACATTCACGTAACATCTAAGCCACATTGTTATTACAGAACGTAAAGTAAAAAGATCGATCGATCATCGATCACGATTGGAAATTACCAACAAAATATCAATCGTATCTGCCATCTAAATACGACCTCAACACCAATGACCCATCGGTATCCTGAAAGGGGCATCTTTCGATTATAAGATCGTCGCCAATGTGGCGTCGCGATCGATCGGTCGTCCCTGGCGTATTGTTCGCATCAAATCCGTTACGCAAGAAATGATCGATCGGCAAATGGAAACGGCTCGTCGTTGCGCGGACCTGCAGCTCGGTGTAGACGTACGATTACGTTTAAGAGGCCAAGGCGACATATACGTACGCCAACACGATCGTACAAGCTGGTGAACGCGCGTAGGAAACGGGCCTCTTATTTCCTCTCTTCGCTGATCGCCTCTCGTAAAGGCAGCTCCAGTCCTTTGATACGAAATAAAATGTTGCACGACGTCTATTTCGCGTTTCGATGGCAAAAAGATCGCCAAGTCACCTGTCCGATCGTTAAATCGAGTAAGGCTTCGGTTAATTCAACGAAATGTTTCGAAGATTGAGAGGAAAGTAGATTGGAAGGGGTAAGTGACAGGGAGGTTGGTTTCTTTGATCGTTTCTATTATTTGATCGAGTATTCGTATTTGATATTTCGAAAGGATCGATTATCGGGATATTAAGGATCGTCGTGTAGGAGATTTCTGAGACGAGAAAAGGATTGCTTTCTGTGGGATTTATTTTCCCAAGATTGTCTAGTTATTAGCTTCTTGCATAATTGCATTAATATTATTGACAGGATTTTAGAAGCGTCAGTAAGTTTGGTAACAATCAAATCGATAGAATTTTACGAATTACATTTCGTACAGTGGAAGTCTGTAATGCATCATTTGTTAAAAGTAAATTATTTTAAGAAGATCCAAATATCCAATTATAATTATTATTCGACTCTTTATTACAGTGATCATATATTGTATCAGTTCGAACCCTACATTCGCATTATTTCATCTTTGTCTTACCGCAAAGATTACGCTCACATTTTGCTATTTTTCATTCGCATGATTAATCTGAAAACTATTTGCTGCGCGAGATCGTATTAACGAATCCCACCAACTCCTTTATCATAATCGAAACTTCCCCGATAAGCATACGTACGCGTTGAAATCCTCTTTCTCTATCGAAAGATCGAGTCTCTAAGAAGATCTTGCTTTAGTAGGACCGATTGAATCGTCCGTGTTCGCATTTGTCTGGCATTGGTCGGTACACGGGCCGCGGACTTATGAATTATGCACGGCGAGAAGAGCGTATTCCTCGCGGAATATTATCAGGCTCGCTGTTATCTGCCGTTATTGCGGCCGCCTACCGCGACCTGGTCGTGCACACGCCTGCCCTCGTACCGTCGCCCACGTACAAATTCTACGACATTCCACCATGGAGTCGCGACGTCAGTCTGACTCGCGAGAAGATAACAATTATTTTTTTAGCGATTTTTAATCGACGCAAATGTGCCCTCTATACGCGGTGAGAAAATACGCCAATGCTTGAAGGATCGGTCGACGTCGAAGTCTTGGTATTCTCTTCTTTTTTTATTATTATTGAATTTGCAAAAAGAAAAATTCCTTACGAGCAGTTTATCGTTTTAAATTAACTGTTACGTAAAGTTCTTACGTTATAAATGTACCATTTATCGAGGTACACGAGTCTTTAAACTTAGACTTTAGACTTAGAAAGCTTTTAACGTTGATCGATCGATGTCGATGAAATGATTTGGTTGTGGGTGGTTGATTGCCGAAGAATTAGAGAACAAACGGTTAATCGAAGTTGAAATAACTTTCAGGGCCGACATAAGAGGAACGCGACGTTCCCCGGTGGACAGACTACCATTCTTCAAGTCACTCCAACGATCAGAAGTAAGTAATTGATAATGTTTTTTTTATCAGAGTTCGAATTGATCGGTCCGTACAAGCTAAGTTGTGAAATACGTTTTGCTTATGGCAGACGCTTGATACGTTTTTATTTTCAATGGAGCGGTTAATTGAATTCGAGAGTTCGACGATGTTAAATGAATGTTCTGCGCCGCCACTTAAGCATAAATTAAATGCAGATTGCTTCTTTAAAGAATAATTAATCGACTGTCATCGATCTTTAAATTAATTTTCTTTGTACGAAATTACGAAGATACTATTAAGATACTAAAATATTGCCATTCGAGATATTATTACACTCCCGTTCTGTATCACGCGATAAAAATCCAATCTCTGTCCCATCATTCAACCATCTAGACTCGAAAGAGTCTGAGAGTTGAATAACTCTGGATCGCTGCCAAAGACGAAACCCGGACTAACGTTAAGTTGATAGAAATTGTATCTAACGTCAAACCTACTCCATTTACAGGCAATACACCGAATCCTCCGCGACCTCGTTTCAACAGCTGTCGTTCAGAGCCACGCAGCAACACATGGATCCCAGAAACGAGCGTCCCTTCCGACCTTTGTCCACCGGTGTTCTCTTCCACACCATCTTTGGTAACCAACAGCGTGGTAACCACCACCAGCAATGCAACGATGAGCAATGGGAACGTGGAAACCAACAACGATCATCGAACGAGCAACCTGTCGCCTCTAAGAACCAGCACACCCCTGGAGAACGGTGGTTCCACGTATCTATCCTCCGTTTCAACCACTTCGTCGATGAACGGAAACGTGTCTAGCACTGTGTATTCAACCCCGTCGACGCCAACGACCGTGTCAAGCAGCAGTTCCTTGACAGAGAAGCCACCGATCGTACCCAACGAGGGTAGATCGAGCTACAGGGATCAACCAGCGAGCAGCGCGTCTCCTCCGACCAGGGACAAGCTTCGAGCGGAGGACAAGGCCAGGCGCAGGATGAATCAGCACGGAGAACGAGCCGGGACAGCCTGCTCCGGCGAGAAACTAGGTCGGTATACTCGAATATGTCGGTGGCCTTGGTTTCGCGATGCTCGTCGGAGATGCGAATTGACGCCGGGACTGGCTTAGGCCCGCTGCAAATGATCCATGGATCGCGATCACGTTGTTTTCAGGTTTTGTAGATTTTTTGAGCGAGCCATTTTTTCGAACCGTACGATGTGGCATGTTTATAATTTTTTCCTTCTTTTTTTTTGGCGATGCAATGCATACGTGCATATGGTATGCAAATTTGTGTTAAGGTAATTGCATCTAATATCGTCTATCCAGTTTCGAGCAAAAAGATAGGAGACATCTTTGTATCAAATTAGTCTCAAACGAAAGAGCATTATTTGCGTTTCGTGTACGTAAAATACCGATCTTTACCAGCGCCTTCTTTTTCAAAATATTACGACAGCGTCAAAAATTGCTGAAGAATTTTTAACGAGGCGAATGAACGTTCTTAAGGCTCTTTAGTAACGAACGGGTAAAGTTAGTACGTTTGAATGATTTGTTTTCTAGAATATACCCGAAGCATAGAATTACCAAGTGAACTAAAAAGCACAGAGTAACCTGTAAATCTAAACTTGTGTTTATTCTGTTGATCAACCTGACAAACACGGTGAGTCAGACCTAGGAACATCTGGCTGGATCGTCATTTACAGTCGTTACTCGTCGAAATCGTTTTAACAAGATACGACCGCATCTTTTATTCATCCCACCGCCGATTGCGTAGTTTTATTCATGGTCCTATCGAGCAGAAGCTTTAATCCCTGTAATTGGCACAGCAGGATCGTTAACGACATCTAAATATAGTTAAACGATTACTGAAATTGCTAATTGATGTCGGTGTAAAATAATAGAAAATTTATACGATAATTATATATCGAATTATTCGTATCGTGGTTTCTCCTTTTTTACAGTCTCACTCCCATAAAACTCTATCGTAAATTATTTTTCTCCGATTTAAGTGCTTATGAATCGGTTTTACGCGAGTTTAATTGCCACGTTATTAGGTCGTGCACCTAGAGAGAAATTTTACTGCGTTGCCCGATCGCAAAGCGGATCTGCTAACGCGATTCGGTTTTAAACCAACAATACAACGTCCCATTGAATCGCACGAGGAAACTGGGTCGTCGACGACTATTCTTCTCTTCGACGATGATTCGCGCGACCGCGTTAAATCGTACCTGACCCATTTTCCCTCGTGACAATTGACGGCATAAACAAAACAGTTAGCGCGTGTCCACGCAACAGAGAACCGTCCGTGTGAAAATCCAGCCGATTCTATCCGCACGAATTTATTCGTCCCTGGCAGTCATTTATCTGCTCTATCGTACAGTGTAATCTCGATGGGAAGCTTCGCTACCGTTTGTGTTTTAATGACAGGAAGAGTGGCTCGACGAGAATCTGGGATCGAAAACTTACGATGTACGAACAAGGTCAAAAGTGTGCAGTTCTGGTTAAATCTCGTAAGACACGCGATCACGAAGTGTTTCACAAAATCTTTCATAGAAAGGGAGTGTTTCGTAGAATCTTACGATCGAAAGAATTTTTCCGGCAATTGTTCCAAACAATGGAGATAATTTGTTATTCTAAAAGAATAAGTTTCAGTCGAAAATGACGAAAAGAACGCAGAATGAGCGAAGGAGCTTTGAAATAAAAATTGAAACGGTATAGACAAATGTAATCGGCAATTTAATGTCTTGCAATAGGAGAGCAAAATCAAAGTTAAAATGAAACTTTGATACGAGAAAATCGACCTGACCGAATATTATACGAGAAATAGTTAATGTTGTTATTATAGGTGTGTGGTAATTAAGGTACAAACGACGAACTAACTATTCCCCTTGTTACTTTCACTTTTGCTTGGAACATCCAACGATTCTCTAATAACACAAGAAACACAGGACATTCGTTCTAATGCTGGAACCTGTATCGAAGAAACGCAACGAAGCAGAGAAATCGTAGCCACGTGAGCGCCAGGGGGAATCATATCTCGATTAAAGGCTCGTAGCTCACTGAAAACGACAGGCTAACTTATCGTCGATTGGAAAGCACGTACGAGATACCGATGGTGGGAACAACATAGAGAAAATCCCCTCGCTCGTTTAATTGGAATCCCCTATCACGTTCGAGGGAGCAGGCTCCTCCACGAGTTGCTGATTAATTTCGCTAACAATTTTCGCCCGCCGCGTCGTTATCGAGGACAGAGACACTCTTTGGTCGAGTGTTCGCTAACTTCAAACACGGAGCGGGTGTTTTGTCTGCCGATTAAATTCCCTGACAATTTTTCTGTGAAGCTTTATTTGCTTAAAAGGGTTCTCGTACTGTATCCTCCCCCGTATCAATTTATTTTGCGATTTTAAGGTAATATCGAATATTTTCCCTGCTTGCGAGAATATAATCATTGTATTTTTAAAGACATTTTCAACGTGTACTTTCAATAACAGGGTATTTCGTTACAAATATTCCTCTTGTATTAAAATATTTAAGACCTTCTGTGTTTGTTAAAGCGAGAGCGAGTTTACTATTGCTATAACTCAGTAGCATGATCCAATATGAAGGAGATCTCATTGCAAACCGTAATTTAGAATATCCAACGTGGTATTATAAAACCTGATGATTTCATATAAAAGGCAATAACAATATCCTCGCGTTTGATCATTATGCCCAAAAGAGGCGTTAAATCATATTTGATAAAAAAAATTCATCGATCCAGCCGATTCGAAGCGCTGCAATTGTCTTTTTTCCCCTCCATTTAGTTACAATGATCAAGAAGGATCATAAGCTATTAACGTCAGAAACGGTATAGGGCTCTTTATGATCAGTTTAACAGCTTCAACCGTGTATTTAGTCGTCTCAATAAATTCTGCAAATGTCTCCATGTTTAGGGTAGAAGATTATCCCAAGTTTACGATACGGACGACACACCTGCTATTTTCGACAAGTTCGAATTTTTTCACATTGCACGTTACAAAGTTTACAATTCGGACCACGTGGACGACTTAATTCGCATTTTGAGCGCTCGTCGGCTCCCTACAATAGCAAACAACGTGTCATAAACTTTGACAACAGTTGAGAACTCGACAATAGACCACGCGACGATGTCGCTAACGGGACGTTACACTGCGAACCCTCGACGAGAAACGCACAACTTGCGAGATGCCCACGACATTTCGACAGTAGCATGATCGAACAGATATAAATTCCCACCTGGTAGAAAACGTTGACGAAAACGCGCTACCTATACTGACACCTGGAATATAAGCACCAGTCAGCACAGGTTAGAGAATAAAACACTTTGAAATAAACGTTCAAGAAAATCACTATCGTACTAGAACTCTTAATCAACGCTTCACCTTGAGCGTCAATATTGTTCGCGATCCCACCGAACAGTTACGATTTAAGCGATCGCCAACTGGTTGAAAGGTCGCAACACTTAACTTTTTTTACTCACACGCTAGTTTGTGACGGAACGTGTCTATTTTTATCGTAGTACTCTCCCCTCTCTATGATCGCATATTTCTCATTGATCTTGCCGAACGAACAAACGAATAAACGAAGAAGCGTGGCGCCGTGTTTTAATCGATAGAAGAAGAACACAAGTGAATTTTTCGTCGATGGAGAACCGGTTGTGGCAAACGGTGTATCCTTTTCTAAAAATCGTGCAATCGCCTCGCGTTAACTGCGCGTGCTTTACACCGTTAGCCGCTGCAATTTGTTCACGCATCATTATCGAATTAGCTTCTTGCGGTCGGTTTATTAGCGTATCCCAACGTGAAAAAGCCTAATTCCGATCGAACGCGCGTGGACAACGATATCTTTCAGCTGTCTGCTTCACGATGAACTTGTCTCGATGGTTCGCCGTTTAGGGCGAAGGATGTTCAACTAGTAACGGTGTGTCGAAGGTTTAGAACACGGGGCTTCAGACTTGGAAGCCTGAAAACTGGCGTTCTCGAGGAATCATTGGGATAATTGATAGTTTAAGAGATTAGTAGGTTCTTGGAATTGGGTCAGTTGAGAATTCTAATGATAAAGGTCTCTGATTTGTTTTATAGGCTTTGTAGTCGATCTCTGTAACAATGTTTCTGTATAATTATTTACGTACCTCTATGCAATATGTATTTTACGTTCGTAGGACTTTCACGATATTTTCGTACTGACAAAGAAACACTTCGAATCTGGGCGTGTCTGTTTTAACAGGACTTCCAGGATTGAATCGATTTTTTAATTTGATTAATAGTGGAAATACATATTTTCTGACGTTTCCACAAGAAAAGATATAACGCGTAAAATTAATTAACTTCATAAGAAATTTCTCTGGAACAGTCGTTCGAGGTATACATATATCTGGTGCGTATTTTTTTTATCGACAATTGTCTACACCGAAGGGATGAAAGTAGCCGTTTCTAAAATTTAGTTCTTAATCAAAGCTGAGTTTTGACGAGGCAAAATTGAAATATATTTATCATTTTCATAGCTATTCTTAATCGAAGTTGAATCTTCTTAAAGATGCTCGTACTTACGTTTGCTCAATAGATCAGACAACAAGAAATGAAACTAGACAGCTTAATGGATACTTCATAAATAAACAAGATAAACAGGCATATTCTACTTTGATTCAACCGGTTGAGTGAATTATTAATCAGCAATGTTATTTCTTCCAACCTAAATTCATCGATCGACATTATCTCCTATTAGCTTAATGATTCCGAACAAACATGATAGACACGTCAATACGGAAATTCGTCATTAAACGATGAATCAACCGATTGGCAGGAAAAAGGATTAAGCGATACGTTCTTGGTCGAAAAAAGAATCTGGCGTTCGAGATTTATAAGGGTCTAACTGGCATAGTTAGCTTCGATTCCAAAGGATTCGCCTGGTGTGATTACGTTTCCCGTTCGTTGCGTAATTGCGTGTGCACAATCTACGAGAAAATCTACCGGTTCTCCTCGCCGCGTGCTTCGTGATCTCTGCTCTCCCGTCTGATCCGTAGATTTCATTTAGATTGGCGTCGAACGAACGTCCAGGAACCCGTTGCCCAGCTTCACCAGTGATCCCTGAGATTTATGTCGATCGCCGATTGTCCAAAGATATCCACGAAATACTTGGGAAGATACACTTAGCGAATTTTTTTACAACAGAGTAAAATTCAGGATCGCTGCCGTGCAATCTAGAATCTCCATCTGTATACTTTTTTGAATTTTATTCGTCCGAATAATTGAGCGATCGATACGAATAATCGACGAGTATCGAGAAATTCCTACCTTTCCGATCATTTTTACGCAACATTTTTCCTGAATATCGCACTCAATTATATTGTACAAATGTTTATATTTAACAAATATTTATTTCTGCTCATCTAAAACTTAGAATAATCTGATCTATTTTATTACTTAAATTCTTGCGGGAAATTTTTTACGGAAAATGTCCTTTAGACATGCGATTTGCAAATATCGTAAGAATCTTCGTTTATCGTTTCACCAAAGTGGAATATCTCCATCGCTCGCTACATGTAAAATCTTCCATCGAACGATGAATCGCTGGAAGCCAATTTTCCCCGAAACTGTCCCATTGTTTCCACCCTGTCAAAACGTCATGCTCTCTAACGTCAACAGCAACGAAGAGAGGTAGCTGGTAGAAAACTGTTATTAGCATAGTAATGGCGGTTAGAATTCGATGGGTGATGGGTCGATAGAAACGCGGATAAACGAGGGCGATAAGCGTTCTCGCCTGGTCGTTGACGTGAAAGGGGGACTGGATTATTAATTAGTCGGCAGTCAATTAACCGAGCGATCGTCTGGCCTTGGCAACATCGCCACATGCTTAAGGTTTTACTCCAACTGAAAAGAACTTAATTCGTTAAGTCGAAGACGAATATTTTCGATAACGACCAGCCAGAGAACGATAGAAGCCCGGAAACGCGTTTCTCGCTGTTGCTGCTACGTTGCTGCTTGATCATGACCATTATGCGGCTAGCCTGTCATTATCGTCTCGTAACGGGAGACGCGGAATGACTCTATCGAATGGAGCAGAAAATGGTGAACGATTCGACGTATGTTTCAGACGATGACGCCTGTCGAAGAATCCTGCTGGAGCATGAGAGGGAACGAGAGGGAAAATTGCGGGATATTGCTGCCTCTTTGACCCAGCCACGCGTCAGGAGGATCAAACCGAGAACGTCCGAACCGACTAGGGACGTGGTGGATGCAGCTAACGCGGCGTATCAGGACAAATTCGTGAGTCTCGAGTTTCTATACCTGTTGAAGGATTTGGAGTTGTCATTTCACATCGTCATTCGTTATGGGTTTTCTTTTTTAAGATTTCAAAAGAAGCATTACTCTGGTATATTAGTCAAGAGTAGGCTTTAAAATATAAACTAGATTCGAAAGAAAAATATACTACCATCCAAAGTATAGAGTACAGGACAGGGCTCAAAAGATATAGATTAAGGTTCGAAGAAAGATATATTGCTCAAAAGATATAGATTAAGGTTCAAAGAAAGATATATTGCCCAAAATGGAGAATGTATAATTCAGAATCTAGGATAGGATTCGATAAAAAGTATAAAGGATGTACAATCTCTAGTCTAACTTAATGACGAGGCAGATGGTTAAATCCCCATCACTCTAAATAACTTCGATGTAGATGTCTTTTACGAGCCAGAATAATAGAAATTCGTCGTTAATACCACATACAGATCAGAGGTGATCCAGACGGATGTGGCCTGGACATTTCGGGGATAAGATATTCCCCTACGTCCGAACTGAGGGTTGATCTGCCTGCCGAGGATTTATTAAACATCAAGAAAGGCTGGCTAATGAAGCAAGGATTGAACAAGGTATATCACCAAACGTGACAATTTCTCGTGTAACCTTACGGTAGCATCGAATGTAGGTTAATATACGTAACGAGCGGTGTATTCTTCAGGAATGGAACAAGCATTGGTTCGTATTGCGCGGTTGCGGTCTCATGTACTACCGTGATCCTTGCGCGGAAGATAAGGGTATCATGGACGGTGTCATAGATCTGAATACCGTTACCGCCGTCACGCCCCTTCAAGTCGCAAGAAATTATGGATTCCAGACCGTGGTGAGTGTGACCGGTGGATTTGCACGCGGTGATTTACGGTAATTAACATTCCGCATGAAAGAAAGAATCGGTCAACGGAAATCCAGTTACAGACCTTACGGGAGCTGCAATTTCCATCCTTTTTTTTTCATCCTCGTAGAGGCAGATACAATACAAAACGAGTTGGTTTACATTGTCTACTAGCTGGACCGACTTTTAAGCGTTTGGTAGCTTCGCGAGATATGTAACAGGAAAAATCGTAAGACCTCGTCTTCACTAAACCAACGACGAACCTCTTGTTCATGTTTTATGTTTCTTGAAAAAGTTATTGTTTGTTGCTCGATGTTTCATAACGATTCATAATGTTCCATAACGACAAGTATCGTTTTGAGATCGAAACAAAAACGAAATATTCCTCTGATTACGTGGCTTCGATATGATGGACGATATCTCCACAAGTTGATATTTGTCGAACAGCGTCTGGAACATGCAACAACGACAAGCAACAAAAATTCCTTGTTGCTTCAGCGAGGACGTAACGTAACACTGAAGAATCGTTGAATTAGATCGTCGAAACCTATAATTAACTATGAATCCGCCGGAGGCTGGTTGGTCAATTGGATCGCCGGAATTAACTTCCGTGGCGGGAGTGGCTGGAAAAAGTCGCTAACTCAATTTCACGCTAGAACAGATCTTGAAACTCTTCGTTTATTCGTGTCACTGATCTCTGTCATCCGTTGTATCCCGCTGTTTGGCCCACATAGACGATAACATTTCAGTTACCTGCTTTCATAGTGCTCTGTTTTATCCGATGATTTGCTCTAGTCCGGTTGTTGCGCATTTTTCAAGGCCTGGGATGATCGAGGATCGACCGTGTTGTCCGCGGTCACCGCTGGTATACGAGCCAGTTGGATGTCGGCCATTCGGAGGGCTGCCAATTTACCAGATCCTGACAGTAGCAACGATTCTCTGACCGTTTGTCAAGATGGACAGCAAGATAACACGCCTCAATCACCTACTGCGTAAGTGAGGCGAAATATAATTGATTAAATAAGGGAAAAAGATTCGTATGAGCTTCTTAGAAGCCAAACTGATCAACTCCACTGTTTATAAAATTCTTCCAAGCGTTTCTCATAGTCTAAAGTGCTTTGAAATTTATTCAAGTCAACATTTGAATTTTAGATCCATTACGGACCGTGAGAGAGACTCGGTTGTTCCATCGACCTCGGTCACGCCACGCTCAGTGCTGTTCTCTTCGGACGAGGAGTATCGAACAGCATCCGAAGGTGGCAGAAGAGAGTCCGGTGATTGGTCAGAAGTCCCAGTGTCACCACCTCTGGTAAGAAACGGTGATTGGCCCAGTGGACTGAAGGGATCAAGCTGGTCAGATTCAGCAAACCATGAATGGTCAGAATTACCGCCCTCACCACCGTTAACAAGAACAGCTCTATCCCGAGTAAAAGCACGATCCAGATCAAGCTCCAGATCTAGAGTATACAAGAGAAGCTGTAGCTCGCCTTTAAGCTCAAGAAGAAGCACGTTGGACAGCGTGAGGTCGGAAGATCTAATGATGGCTTGCTGCGAACTTGGAGAAGACGAGGACCAACATAATGGACACATGCAGAACAATAGTTGCCTCTCGAGCGCCAACGAGAGTCCCTTGATCGTAGAATTGTTGGAGAATCAGGTATCGATGTTGCGCGATCAGTTGGATCAAAATCAATCCCACCCAAGCACGCTACTAGTCATTATCGAGCGTCAAGAAAATGAAATAGAGAGTCTGAAGTCGCAGCTGAACGCGGCGAGAGCGGATGTTGCTAGTGCGGAGAAGGAGTTGTCCAGGTTGAGACAGCAGAAGGCTGAAGCTTCTATTAGGGAGAAGCAAGTCGATGAACTGTTGAATACCATCCAGAGAACAGAGCAACAGAGGAACAAGGATTTAGAGGACTTGGAGAAGATGAAGAAGATGTACAACAGAGATAAAGAGGTGTTGGAGTGCAAATTGCTGGAGACAGAGGCTATTCTTAGGGAGACGAGTGAACGCTGCGAGATGCTTACTAAAGAGTTGGCATCGAGTCATAGAACCGTTGAACATTTGCAGTCGGAGGTTACTTCATTGAGTAACAGATTGTCTCAAGGTATGTTGAATTTGAAATAAAATTGTTCTGGTGTTAATATCATTTATTACAATGTTGTTATATGTTTTATACTGTTGTTATATGTTTTATACTATTTATCGTGTTGTTATGCAGGAATAGACGAAAACGAGCGTTTATATAGCAAAGTTAGAGAATTGGAAGATAAAGGGGGACTATCTTCTTCAAGGGAGCGCGGGAGAAGCTTCGACTCTCTCAGTGATTTAACGAATATTGAGTTAGACCTAGACTTTAATACTCTTGATAAGGAAAGGTAATAAAGACATATCTGAAATTGTTGTATATAGCTACAAGTAGTTTGAAAATCATATTATATCTTTTGCACCTTTTATCCGTAGGATCGTGGAAGAATATGACGAACTGAGAAGCCGCTTTGAGAAAGCTATCCTGGAGATACGCGCGATGCGCAAGGAACTCCGTGAAGCGCACGCGATACAGGACGCACTGGAGCTAGAGATTTTTGCTCACAAGCAGGACGCAGCGAGTGTCAGCGAGACGAACCAGGCCCAGCTGCAGTTAATGGCAGCTAGGATTCAAGATTTGACGAACAAGCTTGCAGCTAGCGAGAAACAAGTGAGAACGTTGAAGCAGAAGTTGACTAAAGCTGAAAGTAGAGATAAAAGAAGATCGCTGTCGTTGAAGGGTCGTGAGTCCTTCCAGATCTCGCAAGAGATGGAGGACAAGCTGCTGGATCTGGAGAACAAGATCTGTGCTATAGAACGTGGAAAAGGTACCAGTGCGCCAGTATCAACTGGATGCAGCTCGAAGGAGTCGAGTCCTAACCCAAAGAAGGAGAAGAGAAGGGACGGAAAGAGTCTGGATCGTACTAGATTAAGAAGAAAATCGCTAGATAGTGCAACTAGTTCCGAACCGATGAAAGTGTTGATCAGACTCAGCACTCTAGAGACGAAGGTGGCGAACGTTACAGAAAATATGGCGAGTGACGCTGAGAAAGACTCCAGCGAATGTAGCGAGATCAGTGCATCCTCCACCAGCGAAGTTTCATTGGAGATCATCGCGAGGTTAAGGAAATTGGAGAGGGTGGTGTCGAAGTCGAAGAGGAGGCTGGAGAAGTGTTTAGGTTCGACACAAGCGGAGGATAAAGCGGAGAAGTGTTTGCGCGAGGTGAACGACATCCTGGACTCGTGTTTAGAATGTAAGAAAAACCAAGCTAGCGCTCAAGTGACCGAGTCAGTAGGCGTAGTGGTATCTAGACTAGAGACTATACTTAAAGATAAATTGAGCGAACTCACGAAGAGACGGCAGACGCTCGAGCAGAACGGCCAACTAAACGACAGAGAGAAGATGAAGCTGGTCGCGGAGAGAGTGGCGTTCGAGTTCATCGTTCTGAGACAGATCAAGTGCGCGATCGGCCGGACATTCGACCGGAGTGCCGTTCTCAGTGAATTGGTCGAAACTAGTCAGCTTGCCTCAAGCTTAATGCGTAAGATTCACGGAACTAAGCCCAAAACGTACCAAAACACCAGTTACATTCAGTATCTTACTAGAGTGTTAGCGAATAAGTTAGTACTAGTAGGTGGCGTGGCCGCGACGGAGACAACGACCAAGGAGGTGTCCGCAGCTCGTAACGAGAGCTTGAACTTCCTGCTGCAAAAACAATGCGAGGTGAACGAGATCGTACGGAAATATAAAGAAACGAAGTTGAGACAGCTCGCAGAAGTACTGGCCGCCGAAACGTTGAGCATGTCCGAGCAAGAGGATTTGAACAAACATCAGGTAACCAACTCGAATAAAAAATTACTGGAAGATCGACGAATTCGCGAAGCGTGGGCGTTGGCTCAAGAAACGGTCAGCAAAGAGTTGGTACAAGCTGAAGTGTCTCATGTGATCGTGCGTTGCGGCCAAATGTACGAACAGAACATCACGAGCATCACCGATGCTTGTCTCAACTTTGAGGGCGCGGAGAACGTAACGTTGGAATCTTGGATCGATGCCGCGCAGGCCAGACTCCGTCAAGAGATGGAACTTTCTACTCGCGAGCTATCCGACGTGTACGAGGAATGCCTTCATCAGCTGAAGAAGAATAAGTCGACGATAGTTGAATCGAAGTACGAGTCCCGGCAGTTGTTAACGGAATACGCGGACGTGATCGCGCACAAAGCTTTAATAGACGCCAGAATCGGGCTTCTTCAGGAGAATACGAGACAATTGACGATCTTCCCTGGGGAGACTTTCGTATCTAGTCTAATCCGAAACGACGACGTCCTTTCAAGTCTGCTAGAAGCGGACGACCACGAGTTCCAAAGCAATCCGATTCTCGACGCGGAGTACAGTTACCTTTATCAACAGTTTAGCAAGGACTGCGAGGAAAGGATATCCGGTTCAAAGCGTGCTTCGAAGGATCAGATAAAGAACGTTGGCCAGAGTTTGCACTACCTAGAAGAAGACTTAGTTGAATTGGGCAAACGAGTCCGAGGCAAATTGAGCGAAAATAACGAAAATACCGTGTGGCCTACGAAGTCGCCGACGGTTACCATCACCGACTGGTCGAGTGTGTGCGAAAAATGCTCGGAATTGCGCAAGCAGATCAAGAAGCTGAGCGACTACATGAATAGCGTGACTTGCAAACAGTGTGGCCAATTGCAAGAAACCATCGATAGGATAACAGCCGAGCATAATCAAGAGTTGGAGACATTGAAGCGCAATCAGGAAAGGGATTTGCTGGACATCAAAGGTGAACTAGACAATCAGAGACAATCTCTAACATCTCAGTACGAACAGGAAGCGGCCAGTCTACGAGAAAAGGCGAGAAAATTAGAACATAGACTGAACGCTATGGACTCTGAGCACTCTGCTCACGTGAACGAACTTAGAGCAGCTTATCAACGATCCATGAGCGCGGAATTGGACACAGATGCGGAAACAAGAAAGAGATATAAAGAAGAGATCAAGCAATTGCGAGCGTTATGTGAAAAAGGTTTGCTGGCAATGGAGAATTCTCATAGACGCATTATTTCTGAGATGGAAGAGAAACATCGACAGGAATTGGAAAATCTAAGGGTGGAGAAAGAGCAGGCATTATCAGAAGAGACTCAGGCCACTCTTGCGGCTCTTGATGCTATGAGAAAGGCGCACGAACACGAAGTGCAGAAGGAAATAGCTAAGTTTAAGCAAGAATTTATTAAACAAATGCAGGCACGCGAGGACATTGGCGTGCTTCATAAAGAACACGAGTATGTAATTAATTCCTATTCTATATCTGTAAATTTTGAATAATCCATGAATTTATCATGATGATATATATTTTTTAATTTAGATATCTCTGACTATTAAATAACATTTATCAATTTATAGGGAAGAGATGGAGGAGATAAAGCAGGAAATTCTTTCGTTATCTGCAAAATATTCCTCTAAGTGTGTGGAGTCTGCAGCCCTGGAGGAAAAAGTAGGATCCCTTACCAAACAACTTGCTCAAGCGCAACAGCACATCATGCAACTAGACGCGAGAAACAAACAGCTGAGGGCACATTTGGTATTAGAAACGAACGATGGTACGATCAACGACAGTATGCAAATGTTGAGGGGCAGGGACAACGAGATTGTCGAGCCGAGGGAGGAAATTCATCGACTACAACAGATGAAGGTAAACTTTTGATAGCTCTCGTTGCCATGAACGTGCCCCATTTACAGCGTAGATGTGGTTAACAAAAATGTACGATACTAAATTAATTAACTCCGCCGCAGTTACATGTTATGGCGCCCAACCCTTTCGAATGTTTCGAGCAAGCGCTTCTAGATAACGAAAAAGAACTGACAATTGTAAATAAATAGTAGTCATAAGCTAAAGATGAAGTTAGGTACAGAAAAGCTTTTGTGTTCGCAGGCTTTAACCGTTCGCGAATATTTAATCCTCGATTGGTAGGCAAGGAATAAAAAGATATTTTAACCCCATGCTTATTAAGATCTTTTCATTCATTCAATGAATTGTGTTCCTCGAAAGATCGCTTATAATATATTGATTTATTCATATGAAATATATACAAATGTATTGTAAATTAATCGAGTGCCTTTTTTAAACAAAATTAAAATCTCATTCATATATTATGCAGTTATAAACTTGACCATTAAAAACATATCTACTTTCTTTCTAATCTAAAGGTATAATATAAAGGCACTAGATTAATTGAAGTACTTAACATAACACTAAAATTGCTGCCATCCTATCGGTAACCAAAAGCAAATACATCTTACCCCTAAAATAATGATTTAATATTTTACGATACGTAACGATAGCAGATATTCAAGATCCTTATTAGGAGCAGCGTTGACGGAGGTTTTACTGTACCTATCTGACCGATCGTGAGTAGCCCATAATTGATTGCCCCGGCGCGCATCGATCTCCAATACGATCGTGTTAACCCACCCCCATATACCAGCCGCACTGACGCATTATATTTTCGATATTTCACTAACAGCATGGGGAGGCTCCTCGTGATACGTCCGGTGTGTCATCGAAATCTCCGTCGCTAAGCTACTCGCCGCAGCGTGTCCGGAGTAGTCACGAGCCGCTGCTCAGAGCGGCGAGCAGCGAGGAGCAGAGAACGACCGGCGAACGGCCGAGAAGCTCGCTGTCCACGTTGCAAAAGAGCACGCAGGACAAGCAGGCCGCGTTCTCGTACAAGCTTGAACGCGTTAAGTCAGTGTCGTTGCCTTACTCGAGTAACTTGGTTAGGCCGGGCAGTAGTTCTGGCGTGCCGTCGCACGATAGGAAAGAGGTGAGCTTAGGGCAAAAGAGCCAGGAGCGTAACGGCCTGGCATCGCCGCTTTGGGACAGCCTGAGACCAAGGACCGGACTGCCCCATCAGTATCAAGGTACAGAAGAAAGGTGAAATGGGAGGAAAAAAAGAAGCCGATCAGAAAAAGAAAGAAACGCTTCTGGTGGATCGCCGCCGTTTCTCGATCCTCCTCCTTTTCCTCGAACTCGTTCCTGCTTCTCTCTAATATGCATACTAGCTGCATTCGGCTTACGAGATATTCATACGCGTTGGATGGACATCGAGTCGAGTTTGTCTCATTGCTTTTTTCCTTTCGACGATTCGTTCGTTGACGGTTTAGCGGACTATGGCATGACTAAAACTAGCTAAAGCGTGTATCGAGATCTTTGTATTTTGTTTAACAATTCGTAAGAAAAAGCTTTTGAAATTTGTTACCAAGAAAGAGATGTGGGAAACGTAAGACTAACCGAGTGCTTTCTCCTGTAAATTAACCACTTTCGAACATATTAATTCTGTTATAGTTATTAGTGTTTGTCGTCGAATCGAATTAATCGATCAAATTCTCAACGACTAACGCGTACAATCGCGTTGTTGTGCAATAATCGTTTTGTTATTTACATGTGTAACGTGTCCACGAGATTCGAATGTTCATGCGGATTGTTTCGTCCGGTTTTTCTCGACGACGATTTGTATTTCGATTTGACAAGCGTACGATCGCTGTTCAAGCAGCGATACGAAGCGCAGATATTAATCTTACTCGAAAGTTGTCTAACCAATTGCTAACCAAGAGACCTTTTAACGGTGTAACGCAAAGTAACCCCGCCTTCTCATGAATGTGATTTTGTACTCTTTCAATGTCTAATCTGTGCGCATAATAATTTTCAAGTTGTACTATTAACAGGTTTGGAAGCGCGTGGAATATATCTCTACCACAGAACTTTTATAAACTGGATCTTTTTAATAAAACTTTTTACACTTTCTTACTGGAGATCCTATTTTTGCAATCTGCAGTATACACGCGTCGAAATGCCAAGTTTTCTACACAGATTTCTACGTGCTTCCGAACACCAGCATCAAACTCTGCGAATATATTTGTAAGAGTAACGTCGCTTCACTATTGGGAACATAGTAGGTACTCTAAGAAAATCATTATACCCTTCTAGCCGTCGTATCGTCTGAAAATAATTAAGGGACATCGGTGGCAGTAAGACTGATCGAAAAAAATATAATTTCAATCTTCATGGTTTCTGAGTTTATCCAAAATTCCTTTATATATGTTTCAATTATTTGATAAATACAAGAAATCTACGAGCGAAGCTAAGAAAAGTAAAATTTCAACTGTATACGTAGCAAAATTAATAAATTTCAGAAATCATTCTATAATTAGAAAGAAATCTCACAGTGATCCAGAACGTTCGTTCGAATTATATTTGTTTCGAAAATAATTCGTAATTTAGTTGTATAAAAAATATAGAAAGAAAGAAAAACAAGTGAAATACACGCGTAAATGGATTGTGCAAACCGGGTTAATCGTATTTCGAAAAAATTGTATTTCACACGAAAGGTGGCACAGCAGAGGTGCGAGTCGACAGCGCCGGCAGTGGCTGGCAGGGCAGCAACAAAATCGAAAAACAGCAACACTCGGAGGCATACGGCTTCCATGCCAACGATCCTCGCGCGTCCCGCCTCACCCCGGAACCCCCAGCTCTCTCCGTTGCAGGTCCGTTCTCTTTTTTGCCAATTAAGGAAAATCTTTCAACGAATTCATCGTCGACGCACTTCACCAGCTTGTTTTATTTCGACACGCCTCTTATCCGCACTTCATTTCATATTTTTTTTTCATTTTTCTTTTCAAAACGTTGCTTTGATTTGGTCTTCTTTATTTTGGTAGCTCAGTAGCTTGGGTCCAGTTTCAGCTTTGCCAGCTTTTCGTCTAAGTACAGGTTCCTTTATGTGTATTCAGATGGTAAATAATTGATCCTAAATTTTCTTATTTTATTTATTCTACTTCAAATTGGATTATTTATCGTTATTACTTGTACGTTGTAGGCTATACATTGCTGATGCACATTTACGAACCTGATCCGATCGTATGTATATACACTGCTCTCTTTATCTAAGTTTGCCTTCGTACTTTGATTTCTATCTCCACGCGCATTTAGTGTTCTGGGTAGCACGGGTGAAAAGGAATCAGTCAACTGGACAATGAATAAGATAGAATTCTGTTTGCAGAGCTGATGAGGTCTCCAGCCGTGAGGTGGTCCAGCAGAAGTTGTCGTAGCCTGCCTCCAACGCCCACGCCGAGTTATCATCATACGCTCCACCCTCCACTACCAGCGGTGGGCATGGTCGCCGAGAGGAAGAAACGTTTCGAGCTCTGAATTGCTAATTAAGAATGTATCACTATCCTATTGGTCTGCTGAAATTTCAAGATTACGCGCATCGTCGAACGTATCATGGGCAGTAACTCCATGTAAAAAGAAAACACAAATTAATTCGTACGAATCGTTTTCAACTGGTGCTAAACTATAATAGTTGCTCGTTCAAAATCTTCCTCAAGGAAGACCCATGGATTTCGACTTGCATTGTCACATATTGAACATACGGCATTTTTTAAGCATTTCCTTCTTTTTTTAGTGTTGAAATAACTGTTTATGTTATTTCTTTTTTTTTTTTTCGATGACAATTTGCAAGCATTTCGTCACTGCCATAGCAAATAGAGCTTCGATGATAAAATGGAGCAATGTTCGTGTCAATTAATACGGTCGCCCGGGATCATGCTCGTCGTAACGTAACGATATTGAGCATGTTTATCAAGTAAACATGATTCAATAGCCGAAACGAGGCTCGGGTCCCGCGCGAGGCTCGCGAGTTCTGCTTTACGGTTGGACGCCTATCGCGAACGATAGGTCGTTTTCGAAGGGACTATCTTTTTCCGATTTATATCGATAGAATTTTTACCGGGTACCATTTACCAGGCCACCATTCGATGAGGCTGGTCCTTTGATACGCATTTAAACTTTCGATACGTGAATTTTTTCCCGTAGGACCGAGTAGTAGTCGTTTCGATCGACTTTCGCGAGCGACGTGCGTTTCTGGGGCATTATTTCAGCTGTCTGCCATTTCTCGTCACTTTATTCATGATTGCATAAAAGGAAGTCATGCGATTATTGATCGGTGTCTGAGCCCGTTTTGTTCGAATTTCTCTTTGACTTTTTCTTAGCGCTTCGAGTTCAAATTCGAATTACAACGAGTAGCGCTTGAATATATCAAGAAGTTGAATCTTTACTGAGATTATGGTAAAGTAGGCAAAATATTTAAATAGGCAAAATATTTTCATGGAATATTCTTTAAATGACGAGAAACGGCAAAGAAAGCGGCAGATGCAATGAAAGTACAGTAGAATGTCGATTATTCGAACGAATTACCAACAATTAAATTGGCAAGATATGATTCACTTCAGAGATTCGAATATAGGAATCTTTAGACATATCCGAATCAGTGAGATCGAAAGTCCGGATAATTAACAATCTACCGTACTGTGAGTCATTTATACAAGTGTCGTGGTAGTTAACGCAATGTAACACATAAATGTATCGGTGTGAAAGTGTACTGATAAATAATTCATGAAGATCGTTGCGTTTGCGTTTTGATAAAAAAGAAAAAGAAACGATGAAATGATTTTGTACAATCGTAAGATTTGTTGTTCGCCATCTTGTGACTTTACGAGGGGGCTAATTTTAATCGACGATCGGCTCAAAGTTCGTCTTCTAGGGAGGCTTCAATTATTTCTTTTTTCATTTGTTGACAAGTCGTTCGTGACTATTATTATTATTATTATTTTGTTTTGTAAAGATGAGTTAGTGTGTTAAAGCGAAAAAATAACGATGATATTTTGTCGCGGCAAGAGAAGACAAGGGGCGTAAGATTTATTCTCTATTTCTATCGTTTCTTTCCTTTTTTCCTCTATTTACTTTCTTTTTCTATTTTGCACTGTTTCTCGTTAATTCTTTGTAGTTGAAAATATTTGTACGCTTGCTTCGCGGAAGGACGCGCGTTTTCCTCTCAATGTGTCAAAATTATCTTGGATAGAATCTTCGTTTTAGAAGAGTGCGCGTTTTCCTTTCCAGTTGAAGGCAAAATTTTCTTGGATAGAATCTTCGTTTTAGAGGAGTGTGCGTTACGTCCTATATGAGTCATCCTTTTTTTGACCATGGATATTGGCATTTATTTCTTTTTGGATCGTTTCTATCCAATTTTACGCGATCGTTTTACGAGGAAACGCGCAAAACTATGACTTGTCGCTGATCCGGTCGCGTGCGAATTTGATGGTTTGTTTATGCTCTTGTTATGTATAGATTCTGCACATAATTGAATATAATACGGCGTTGTCACATTGCACTGTGTATTACCACATATTTTCATTGTGTAAATGTTTTTGTCGGTTCGCGATATTATCATTTTTTGATGTTAATACTGTATAGTTTATGACGTTTTCAATTTAAGAAGCAAGAAAGTATAAATAGCCTAGAATTAACCCCTTCCATATGAAAATGGATTGTTTATATTATATGTTATTATTATTGTATTCTATATTATATATTGACGCGTTCTAGTGAAGATGTCGTACTACATCTTAATTGATGTCGACAGAAGCGATTTACAACAATAAAAAGAAAAGGATTATCGATAACAATACGATTCATTATCTCTTATGTAGAGTAATTACTCAGGATTGTTTAACATTTATAATATATTACGATTATACTTATTGTATTTGTATTATAATTTATAATAACGTTTGAAATAAAATATAGTAACCATTGACGTGAATATCCGTTTAATGAATCTGTTTCTTTTATGTATATATTAGAAAGTGCTTCGAATATTCGAAATGAAATTTAAATCGTTTGTATTAGCGCGCAGATTCTATGCGCATGCGCAGGTACTTGAAAAGACTTCCAGTTTGAAAGAAACGCGTAGTTAGTCGGTACGTTGCGTGTTCGTACGTATGAAAGTTCAGTTATTTGTGAAAAATGGAACCTCTATTCCAGTTAAACATTGAGAATATCGATATTTTGCTCGTGAACACGAAAGAGAGGTTAATGCTGCACGATGAATATTCTCAGGTATGTATCGTAAGAAAAACATTCAAAGTTCGTGTATGATCTCCGCTTGTAACATCATACGAGTATGCTTTGAACTCTCATTATTTGAAAATTATACATTACTGAGATCTTCGGACATCTTAGAAATGTTTATTTTTCAATTAGAATATATCTTAGTGTAGAAATTTTAAATATATTTGGTTAAGCATAATGAAGTGGAAAAAGAATGTGGTTAGAATTTTATTAGAAAAAAAGATTTTGCTATCTTTATTTCTAAAAGCCGTAATCAGAACCTACAATATGTTATAATTATTATCAAGTACCTTTAGTATAAACATAAATTGAAATAGAAAAAATGAACAATTTCGTAGATCACATGTATCGAACGAATATCCAACTTATTCAAAAGTGGTGGCGCTGCGAACACAGAAGCGGCTCTTTCAAAGTTGATCAAGTTCGACATACTCTCAACTATATTCGAACTTCTACAAACTTCCAGTGATCGTCTACTTCCGTATGTATCACACAATACGTTATACGCAAATAGAATTAATAATTCTTGTTAGAACCTTTCCATAATTCTCGTTGATAGATGTATTCTCAATTTTCTGGACTTGGTAATCGTATATCGAAAGTTTTACGAAAGTCACGTAGCCACAGACGCCATGGACTCCATCTTGAAAGTTACAGTTTGCGTCGCAAAGTCTCGTTGCAAAGAAACCGAACTATTAGAGAAGCTTATTTCAATCATTTACGATATACTTCACAGGTAAACGTTTCGTCCAAAATTTGTAATTAAATTAACCAAATTTGAAATAATTTTATGAAACAAAATATTATGTACAAACGTAATGATTTTTAGAGCGGTAGAATTTCACGTGAATTTCGATATTGTTTGCGTACCACGGCAAGTACTGATGCTCTTGAAATCTTTGATCTTGGAAGATTCTTGGAATCAAAAGATAAAGTTCTCATCTGTTACGCTATTGAATCTTGTTCTTGAAAACGTTAACGCTGAAGACGAATGGGATGATGGGGTATATGAACTGTGCCACAAAGCTCTCAATTTAATGAAAGAGATCGTCGAGTATAGCGACGACGACGTCTCGATTTCGTTTGCTGCGGATGCATTGTGTGCTGTTTGCGCCTCTGTCACACGGTGAGGCTATATATTTTCTATATAGTTAAAGCTTCATAAGTTGAGAGAGTATGTTAGCTTGCTAATATTAATTCTACTTCTTTTGCTGGACGAAAGATTCTAGCCACAAGGAACAAAGCAAAATTGAAAGTTTCAATTTAATCATGATTGTATCATGTTTCATCCTAGTGTAGTAAAAATTTATGAATTGCTGTGCGTTATTCACAATTCTCGAATATTCATTAGATGTTCAGTTTCCCAACCATGGAATAATAATTCGCTGTACAAGTACTTAAATTACTTGGATATCATTGTTACTGAAATTAATGTTTTAAGGCATAAAATTCTATAATCGAAAATTTGAAATTAATTATGACCTGGTCGATATCAATTACAATTTGTAAATTCTTGTATCATTCAAAAGAGTCGAACGTTTATTACACATGGAATTCCCCAAACGTGAAACGTCGATTCGTTATCTAAATATGTACTCATGAAATGATTTAAACGAAACGAGAGACCCAGTATGCAGGATCATAAAATGGAAATATAAAAAACTCGTTTCCCTCAGATTATGCGTCGCGGAAGACGATAGTCAAGGATCGTTCAATAAAGTTTCGAAACTTAGAGCAACGATGCTGAAGACGATTCGCATCATGATGATGAACACGTTGGTACCTTACGTTAAGGTAAGTTCAATCATTTCGATAGACGTCGTCGATGCGACGTATATTTAGTTATGCGAGCATCAAGGGTCCTTTCATTCCGTCCTGTAGACCGCGGAGTCAAACGAAACGGACAGGGTCAAATTCCATAGGAACCTCGTGACTTGTCTGAACAACCTTTACAAGCTGAGTAGTAGCTGCGGCCGCGACAACTTGTCAAACCACTTGACCGCCAACGGATATCTCAAGTACTTCTTGCTGTTAACTACCAGACTTCCGTAAGTTTCGTGAATGGTCTAGGATTTATTCGTTGATATGATGTCATATCGCGACTGCCATATCTTCCAACATTCACTTTGCTTAACGTCAGATTTTCCATCACTGATATTTTAGAGAAATTTTACGACGTAGCATTTGCTTGCTGTTATCGCGGATCGTAGCAAATTTAGCTGATAAATCCATGCCGATCTACCAACCTATCAATCGAGAAATAAGCTTCGAATATCTAATACACCGAGGACTGGTGGATCTACCAAAAGATACTGAACAATGGGAGAATATCATAGCTCATGATCGAGGAAACAGAGCAATTGCATTAATGACGTTGGTTTACTATCACTTTCACGGAACCAGGGAGTACGAAATCAAAGTTAACCCTTAAAAACTGTCGTCAAAAGAAATTATAAGTGAAATTTCACGTCATACTGTTATTCGATATTAAATGAAGAGAGAAAAAACCTATTGTTCACAGTGGTTGCAGATAACACTGCGACGATATTACAACGGGGCGAGAATGTTAAAACAAAATTCATATGGGGTAAAATTTCACCTACGATAGCGTTTAAGGATCAATTAATGTTGATATTTCTTCTTTTGTATACCGTGGCAATATTTTGAATAGAAATATTGTAGGACCTATATGATATGCTTGAAATTGCTGATCGCGAGGACTGTCAATCTCCCTAAATCCGAGCAGACACCGGCGCAAATTTTAAAAGTTTTATGGTTTCTGTTTGCTGTCGCGTCCGTATCGCATCCATCACCGTGCTCGGTACAGGATTACGACAGAGCCGCGAAACGATTGGCAACTGCGTTGCAATATTCCAACCTGAACGACTGTTACACTCATCACATAGATCTGCTAAATTATTGCTTGAATTGCCCTGAATTCCCAAAGGATCTTCGAAACAGAGCGATGGACTTGTGGTTGGTCGAGTCTGATGGAGACATCAAACCGTTGCTGACCATAGATTGCGGGAAAGTTGTGCAACACTATCTAATGGTAATCAATCATACGTTCGCTTCAATGGTCTATTGAAATAGTAAGAATGGTGCATTATAATGTGATGCAATGTCATTTGGGAAATAGCTTGTCATACAAACTGGATATTCGGATAAGATAATCAACTTAGCGATGAAAGGAATTAGAGAGATGGTACGCCTGGATAATGCCAAGGAAATTGCAGAGATAGCTTGGCATATGTTGCCTAATCTTCTTTCTACTTATCAACCATCCAAAGGTATTTTTCTTATATGCAACATGCGATAGCTCACGAAGGTATTCGAACATTGATAGAATTTTCTTATGAACGTATCGTATTACATAATTGCATTAACATCGTAACGACACTCGACCATCGTGATTATATTGCGAAAGCTTGAAAGTATAGATCACACTGTTACCAGTCATATAAAAAAAATCTGGAAAATGCTAAAATAAAAGATCCCTGATAGACGAGCAAGTGAAAGCCGTGTTAGAATTAAGCAACGTATCCATCCCGGACTCATTATCACGGATCATCAGGATTCGATGCGCAGAGAGTCTCATACCGATTATTCTACGCCGGGAAGCGGACTTGAAGCTAAGGACACTAGCAATATTGCAGTCGTACGCGTTGCTGGTCACGTCCGCGACGATTAAGCCATACACGAGTACATATTTCAACGAGTGTCTAGCTCGATAAGTACCAAGAGAAACTGAAGTATAAGAAAACAATGCCAGGCTTCTTCTACCTTCTTCTTCATTTGCCAACAGTTCTCGAGAAGTATTGCACGACGCCGAGCTTTTTGGAGGAGTTGCTCGTTCAAGGTTTCTCTTTAGAAACGCCAGAATTGTCCGCCGTGTGCTTGAAGCTTCTCGCGTTTATCGTACACTGTCAGGAGAAATCGTCGATACAGGTGCGAGAATACTACGTCCATAAATAATAGATTCGCGTTGTCGACCGTCAGCCATATGTCGAACGACGTGTTTTCCAGCGTGATAAGCCGGTGACGATTGACGTGCAGAGCTTAGCCGATTTGCTGTTAAATACGAGGAGGGCCGTGCACTCGTCGATCAATGGAATGCAACTCGCGCTGGAACTTTTAACTCAAAATATTGACGGATCGCCTGTCAGGCTGGACGAGATCCCCGCCGATCGGACCGAGGGTGTGATCAATCTTTACGAGACCCTTCATATCGTTCACGAAAGAGTTAGTGCTGATATTTTTATCGAACGTTGACGTCTCGTTGATTTTTAAGCAATTGTATATTTAACTGGAATTCATTTCGATATTGAAATGTAGAATGCTCTGGTTTAAAGGAAATCTATAATTTAAAATTTTCTAGAGATCTTCGATTCAATAATTCACTCGAAAATCTACGATTTAAAGAATAATAAATTAATTTTGAAGCGTACAATTTAACAAATTTCCGCTGAAATATTGATCTTGTTATAACAGTTAGAATTTCTTATATTACTTATACGTTACTTTTAACGGTTTTCATTATTT